AGAGCAGGACTCAGAAGTAGCACGTTAACCTTGAACCTACGGCTTCTCTATGCAGCGATCAGCAGACCGTCAGGCTCTTGTGGGACACTGTACCTGTCTTGACTTTACTGAGCTAACTCATGGGGAGGACAGTTTTATGAAAAACTGAGATCCCTGGAGAAGGGTGTCAGACTTTGCGCAGATGAAAAGCTGGCAATCCTGTGCACATATCCTTCTGCACATCATAAAGAGGTGACAGTTACAATAGTGTTTATTAGAGTGGAAATTTTTCATGCTCCTGTGGTATCTGATAACTGTTATATGCGCTAACGAATGACTCGCGAATAGCTATCAGAAGTAAGCTGGAGCATAAAGTAAAAATTCAAAAGTCAAAGGGAGCTTCAGATTTTCAGGCAGCAAAGGCTTCTCACAACTCACACACCCACTGAGCTTGGAGCATCCCAGTAAAGGACCAAATGCAGTCGTGCTTTGCAATAAAGCCAGGGAGATGGTACAAAACAATAATTACAAAGGAACTCTGCCAGCTGCCTGTATTCTTCCCTTTCAGACAAAGGCGTATCATAGACTACAAGATAATGGTCATAATGTGCCATTTGAACCAAGTTTCCATCTACCATTAATTCTGCAGGCATAAAATTTCACTTTTGCAAATTATTGCTTGGATCTCATACGACGATTTGAGAGTCTAAGGGAATAGGAGGTTGTTTTCAAATCTTCATGTTTTTTCTCAGCACAGTCCTGAGCCGCATGAGAGTCTCACATAGACACAAGCAGAGCTGGTACATGACTCTGAATATGGCCACACCTGCCGGGCTTCCCTGTATCATTTACAAGACAGGCTGCTCGAAGGGGACACTGGTTTTCATTTGGGTAACACCCTTTATTATTGTAATGAAGATGCCATTTATGCATTTTCTTCCTGAATAAGGGTTCATGTTGCCTTTGTAATTCTCTGTCTGGTATGTTTAACAGCCTCAAAAAACAAGCAAGGAAATTTTCAAAGGTGAACCTCAGTGCTGCAGTCACTGCTGAGGAGCAGGATGTAGCTGACTAACACCAACATTCTGGCACCAAGACATTCTGCTGTTTAGCCAGCTGTTCACCTATAAGGCTTTACTGGGCTGCCCCCACCACAGCACTTATAACCTAAGATAAGAAGGTCTTACAACATGAAAAGTCATCAAGTAAGCAGGAATCCATACATTTCATATAGCCCATAAAAGGACTGTCTTAAATACATGCAGTTCCTTTTGTCACAGAAATACAGAACAGCATCACCTGCTTTCCAGAGTTGGCCACAGTCCCCTTTCATCTCTGTATTAAATATATCTGCTCATCATATCACTGAAATAGCAACTGAGTTTCCTTTGCCCCTTGATTTTCTCTAGGCAATATAAAATTCAACATTCAAGGTGCTCTTTTAAAAGTAGGTTACCTCCCGATGAAAATAAGAGTTCATATTTGTGCTGACAGTAGTGGATGATGTTAGTACTGTGCTGCCGGTATGACAAAAAAAAAACCAACCAACAAACCACAAAACACCAAGAACAAAAGATACCTTCACTTCCTCACTAAAATTCCCTCAGTTTGAGTCAAGGACAGGTTTCACTGCTTCAATTAGCAAGCAAACGGTATCGTACTCCAAATGAATTGAGAATTGTAGAGCAACACTCTCACTATTTTCAGAAGGCATGGAGACTTTCACAACTGGAAAGACTTCTTAGAAGATGCTTTTTCTTACCATGAAAAAAAGAAAGCTTATATTTTTTACAGGAAAGATCCATCCTGTGTGTCCCCCCCCACGCCTTGGAGCTGTAATTCCTTTAGTACTCCCTGTAAGATCTCTAATCTTTACAGTCAAGTACAAAAGCTACTAATATAAATATTTGCAATACTATCATACGCTGGAGAGCCTTGAGTGATGAACTGTTCTGTAATTTGCAGCCCACTAGCTGTGGGTGCTGTTTCCATTATGCAGAAGGAATGCGGTAGTCTGACAGAAAGTATTAAACAAAGGGAAGGTTTTACACAGTGCTAAGTACGGGGGTTTGCCACTTCAGAGTGAAGTACTACAACGTATTTGTACTACTTCTAATAAGACAAGGATAAGTAAATCAGGGTCACCAAGTGGACTGTTCCAGTGAGTTATGAAAGTGAGAGCAACAAACTTGAATTTACAATGCATGCCCTTTAGCTAAATCTGAGATTTGTTGCAGTTATTTTGGCCTTATTAAAGTATAATATTAACATCCATGAGAGAAAATTTGTTATTCCAAAGACACTTCTATACCAAACAATGCTATATTTAGAGACAATAACTATCGTGCATTGCATAATCTGGCATTTGTGCCACAAGGGAGTCATATGGCATTATTCACTAATGACAGAAAGGCTTCTGGCTCCTTTTCCTGGTGCAATAAATATCTTTTTAGAGCAAGCAAACTAGAGGGGGTGTATTGTGGTACTGTGGAAATGGAAGTATTTTTCCTACTTGTGTGGTAGGATTTAAATTTTCTCAAACTTTAAAAACCAATAATAAATAAAATACAACTAAGAGATCACTACTGAAAATTCAATTTGAGATAATAATGAATTATTATTATATATTGAGATAATAATGAATTATTACCTGTTGCTACTGTTCAATGGCCTGCACAAGTTTGGTAAGCTCAGGCTAAGGGGATGTGGTACTTGTAAGATAGAAATCATCAGAGTGCAAGTACAGTATGGATTTGGGTTACTGCTTCTTCAGCAAGGATGAGATGTCACAACTGTTCCATGACTGGACTGGACTTAGGCTATAACTCTCTATGAATCAACTGTTCTTGGCAAACCTAACTTAAGTTTCTTCTTTTCAAGAGATTTTGGCAAGCGGATTGTGATTCTTAAGCACCATTCTTAGAAGAATAACACTGGTTAAACAACAGAAACTAAGCATTTAGGAGAAAAAGAGATTTTAAACCAATAAGCTACACATACACCTATAGTACCTAAACCCCTGGTGAGAAAAAAAGATAATTCTGGCACTTTCTTCAAACTTTCCAGAAGTGCCATCTTCTGGTTTCTTTCCCCTTTGTGAGAGACACATCCTTTTTCTAACTTGCCAGAGTAGATCTGATTGTCTGTGTTATTTTCCTGCCCTAGTTAAAAGTAGTTTTGTCAGTCTGATGATTTTTTCTCATTGTCAGCAAGGTTAATGCTTTGGCATTGGTCCTTAACAACTAAATGATTTGCGGTAAGACGGCCTGTCACAGACCTCTCCTGCATGAGCTTTTTCTGTATCCCCAGACTGTCAATCCTCTGTTGTGTTAAACCAATTTGATTGTGAAAAAACAAAAGACAAAAAAATCCAAATCCCCATAAAAATAACCAAGCCAGTATGTAGCTATTGCAGAACAGTTTCAAATCCATCAGTGTCACTAGAGATTTGATCTTTCCAGTGGGTTGATTCACAAAGTAAAAGTGACGGGTGTCTCCAAGAGATCCCCAGCCCAGCACAGTGCTGTTCCCTTCAGATGGACAGCTAAGGGGGGCAGGAAAGCAGGACAGCCACAAGAGCAAGAATCACCCTAAATCTTCAAACTGCAGAAAACATTCCTCTATTCAAAACAGGAACAACAGGCTGCAGGTATTGATGAAGTTAACGAAGCTTGCTGCTTTGAATCACAACTTTTTTTCTCTCTGACTTGGTAGTGCTCCTAACTCCTTCATTTTTGGCATTTTACCCCCCTCCATCTCATTGCTTCCCAAGTCCCTTGGAAGCTTCCTTTTTAACTTGTGAGATGTTTTTGAGGCACATTGATGGGTGATTACCAAATTACCAGCGTCGGTGACTCATGATTTCCTCCTTCTCAGAGTGCTGTAAGGCATCTTGTATTTATGTACTTTTTTAGCTTTTGTCATTTTTCCCTAAAGATGCTTAAATGAGTCTGACAGATACTGAATTTATGTTGCCATTGGTAATGAATAAAAGAAGGTGGCCACACCTGATAGCAGCTGGCCATTGTCTTCGGAAGTTTTGTGCAAATGGAAAGATCTGATCCCAAAAGTACAGCTTAGGAAAGCCAGTATTTAAGAGCTCAAGGGCTGGGAAGATAACTTGTGTAGCTGCTTCTCATTAAGATACAAGTGCGCAATAAAATGGAATGCAGAAAATTAAATCTCCATGGTTTGTGGCATTTTGCCATTTACCTTCAAGTTTAAAATGAGAAAAATACAACATTTTCTCATTTTCCTGAGACATGATAAAGAAACATAACCAAAAGACTAAGTGAAATAGTGTTGCAGTGAGTATCAAAAGTCAAACATTTCAGACAGCTGATCAGGGCCCACAACCTCCTGAAAAAGACAGAGAAGACACCCCCCACGACAGGCCAGAGACTGACATGGCATCCATCTCTTTGAATTTTGTGGAGTTTATGTTGGAAAACACTACCCGGACTTTCCTCTCCCCTAAAAAAGGCCTGTTAGCCACCTCTTTTAGAGAGAATATGTCTATAAAACTGTAAAAATTATATTGTTTCCTTTTTATAGAGCAGAACGCCTCAGGTAAATACATACGTTCTTTCATATTTTTCATGCTCTGGATAACGCAGCAAGGCATTTTATAGACATCAGGTCAGCACTGACACATCAGCTGCACAGAAAGTAACAACCCACCTCAACTCTATCCAAACTTAGGAAGTGAAGACAGACTCTGCATCACATCGAAAGTTCACCAGCCCTTTTGACAGGCAGAACAGAAATTATTTATACTGAACTCTGCCAATCCAGTTATGATGAAACAACTATAAATGACGTAAGTACAAGGAGTTGATAACCATCCAAAATGAGATCTATTATAACATCATATTGTCCATTCTGTGTGGATGGAAAAAGAATAGCAAGGAAGTCCATGAATAGATGAAGGTCTCGGTCTTAGATCTCTTTCCATCCCAGCTGTGAGAAGTCAGGGTGACTTCAGTAAACACTGGACCAGAAAATGAAACCTGCCACAACCATTGTGTGAGATAGCTTCAGGCACAGTCTATTTCTCTCATCATTAACAATGCATATTTTGATGAGACACTACCATTGCAATCTGCTCTAAAAGCCCAAAATAAGACTCCAAAAATTTTTCACATATTGGCAGACTCGTATTTTGTACAAACATGATTTTCCAGTCAGGTCATAATGCCATCTTAAACTAGAAGTAAATTTTTGCAGCTAAGTTATAAACCCCTGAAAGCAGCATTTTATAATGGAAATGCTGATACAAGCTTAACCAGAGCAGCAAGAAGAGTGCCGTACACTATGAAAATAAAAGTGAATCATAAAGCAGTAAAGGTTTGATTACTATAAAATACCTGGGCTTGAAATTTTGATTCAGACTTTTTTCTTTTTAATTACTTCTCATGACCTAGAGATACTTTTTAGACAGATAAAGTCTAGGGAATTAGATCAAAGATCCTTTTTGTAACTTCAGAATACAGCACTAATGTGTTCGATGGTCTCCTTCAAGCAGAAAACAGAAGACTTTGAAAGTTATTTTGTCTACTTGTAAACAACTGTGTGAAGTGGAGCTTGCAATTAAAAAGGAACCCCTTCTCTAAACTCCAACCAACCAAAATTGAGATTTGTAGGGGTAAACCAGAAAAAGAAAAAAAAAACCCTAAAACAAAACCCAACAAAAAAGAAAAAAGCAAAAACCTCCCAAGATTTCAAAGATGCCTGGTAGGAATATTTCTTAATTGAGCCATGCTTTAGAGCTGCATGGAATTGTTCTTATTAAAAATTGAATAAGAACAGAGGAGAAGAACATGGGAGCTTTTGAGAGATTAGAGCTTTGTAAGATTTACTTAAAAGGTTTCTATTAGACTTCAGGGGTTCTCTCCCGTATAAAAAACCTCACCTACACAAAACAGCCTGAAAGGCTAGGGATCCAGCTAGCAGAAACTGCAATCAGTTGATTGGGAGTAAAAAAGGAAAAGAAAGTCCTTCTTTTCAATGCAGTAGTAATGCTCTGTTGAATCCATGGTTTTCTTTGTTTGCTAAATAATCATCACAGGTTTTTGTTTAGACTTGGCATGTTCATTTTCAACCTACATTTCTTCCCAATATTTCTGATTTAACTAATTGGAAACCAGCTCAGTCCAGGCTGATCACAATTGCCCTGTTTTCTGTTTCATGCACAGTCTGCAAAGGGTTGGGTATATTTCAAGAAGCATGGACAACTAAAGTTTCTTTACACTGACTATGTACAACATCCACAAGGACCACAGATATCCCTGGTTAAATAATCTTCTATACAGTGAACAAGACATAAAACGTGCTGCAAATTCAGGCCCCTTCTGGAATTTTATCACCTTTCTTCACTGAAACTGCAGGTTTGCTTGGAAACCTTAAATATGCCACCTGCTATCTTATTTTGGAATCCACCTGCAAAAAATGAAGCCTTAAAATTCATCATATAGGGACAAAAAGTGTTCTCAGTTCCTTGGCTCCCATCTGTGCTAACCCTGCCTTAGCAAGCGCACCTTCTGCATCATGCCAAGCTTTCAAGTATTGGCAGACTTTGGGGATTTCACAAATGAAACACTTAATACTTCTGGGCAACCTGAGGAGCTTCGCTGATCTTTGTTCATATTAGGTTTCTAGCTCATTCAAGTTGGCTCACAGACCAGTTTCCCATTAGGTTTTTATCAAAATCTCAAATGACACATTCCCAACCCATTCCCCTCTTTGCAAAGCTATTACAAGTTTTAAAAGGAGCCAATCCTGACTCCTATATGCCTATCAATGGGTATAGGAAGTTTCAAAGAAATGCTACTGAATGTGCCTTTAGGCTGATATTACAGATACATGGAAATAAAAAAGGCTGCTGGTAGACTCAGGATATATTAATGTAACAGTAACGCAAGCTTTATTGCTTGCTTTAGTTTAAAGGGGTGCAGCTCTTAATGGTCAATCAGAAATCTGTAGAAGCTTGCTCAGGAATAAACAGAGGAAAAACAAGTATGATGGATCTTACTTGAAAAGCCTGAGCACATGGGGTTTCTGGAGTTCCTGAGCTGCCCATCCCACCTTGTTTCAAGCAAACCCAGCAGCCTGCTAGGCTTCAGACTCTCCCTGGCTCAGAGGAGCCTTCAGAGCCTGCAGCACCTTTCCCCATCTCACATTTTGCTATTAAAATACAATATTAGTGAATTATTAACAAATGCCACAAACTCATTCTCTTTCACAGCTTCCACGGTGGCAGTATGAAGCCTGCACTACATGGGAGGTGGAGAGGGTTGAGAGGAACAACTGGTCAGTCCAGGTTCCTTCCAGCACTGCAGCAAGCGCTGTATGTTAGAACAGAGTTCATGCAGGCTGCAAGTCCTGGTATTTCCAGCTCAGCAAGGATTTACTACTTTAACTTTATAACCCCCATCCCTAAAATACAGAAGTGATTAAAAGCAAGTAAGTGGGAATAAAAGGATGCTACTTCTGTGCCCAGTTCTTCTGGGAACTGTGTTACTTCTGCAGTCAGTCCTTCTGGGAACAGCATTTCAGAGCGGTTGGTTAGTGTCTGTGCTTTCTCAAGAGTAGAGCCAAGCAAGAAACCAGAATGAATAATTCAATCTTGAAGTTTAAGCTTTTTTTACTTATGCTACATTTATTAGGAAAATATAGTGATAATGTTTTAATTCATTAGAATAAATTCTGAATTTTAACTTAAAAAAATAGAATAAAATAAGATACACAATAATGAAAGATAGGACATGGTTAACAATAAAAGGGAGCTAAAGTTAAGCAAGCTATACAGAGAGTTACTATATAATTCAGTAAAAAGGACAGAATACACCAGGATGGGTTACATAAACAGAGACAAAGACGAGACGCTGGCAGCTCAGCTGTGCAATATGGGGCAGCGTAGCTTTAAGGACCTCAGCATCAGCCCGATGCTGACATAGCAGAGAGAATTTGCAAAACAGCAATCAAACATGCTTCACAGGTGAGAAGGACAAAACAAATGTACATAGAGAGATTTTTGAGGACATGGCAAGTGCAGCCAAGGGACAGATTAGAGAGAAAGGGTAAGAAATCTCTTACAATTATTTTGTATAGAAAGATGTGAAGAAAAGGAAAAATTGTGAGCAGTTTAAAAGGTATAACTGAAAATAATGGAAACATCAGGATTAATACTAGGAATTAGAATTAGTGCTGCTGTGAACACTACCAGCCAAAAACTGCTTCACTAATTAAGATGGTCTTGCCATTTCCTTGCTAAAGAAACAGTGTGTCTAGCCTGAAGGAATTTAGTCCTTGTGATAAAGAAAGAAAAGGGAAAAAAACGTAAACTAAAATAAACCCCTTCTTATTCTCCTTTGCACATTAACTCTAACACCATCAAATACATGTTCTTCATATACAATACTCACTCTTGCAGTATTGTATTCCTGCTTTCAACATAACCACTATAATTATTGTTTTCAATGAAATCCAAGATTTCCTTTATGCATGCTATTTTTAAATGGAAAAGCATGTATGCTTATAGAACACACACGTCTATCATACATTGTATTCCTTCTCCGTTTTAATATTCTATAATTTGCCTCAAATCCCTGTATGAATTTCATATTGCAACTGTTAGACTCCACAGCCTATCATACACAAAAATCACTCTAGAAGAGTCTGAACAAGCCTTGAGAAAACTTGAATAAGATCTAAACTGATGCGCAGCCGGGTTTGGGGGGTTTGTATGGTTTTTGTTAAATCTGATGGTTAATCATCTTACCAATTTAGGCATCTATAAAGGTCTCCCCAGGAATATTCTTCTGTCTTAGAGCTTTAATATCCCTTCTAAAAAGGGCATTGCACAACCAACACCACAGCAAAGGAAATCAGATCTTAAAATGCTAAACGCTTTCTTCAAAGAATCTTAAAGGGATTTTTAGGTTTTCTTCAGCAGGGCAGGCTGCCTTGTGGTTACAGAATTAAACTGTGATCGCAACATAAGAGCTCTGATCTTCACTATTAACTCTCACAAGCCACTCCAAGGCTCTCGTATCTCTGAGAGCAGATCAAGGATAACTGGAGAAACTTACTGACAGCTTAGTTTCCTCTTTTTTTAACTGGAGATTACAAAATTACCAAGAATTTACCAATGCCTGTCCGAAAAGTCACCCCAAATGCCCAGATACAAGATGTGATTAGAAAACAAATCACAAGTTTGTGAGGAAAATCTCTTAGACCCCATATCAGAGCAGCTTTTTTTAAAGTAGAATTTTTACCTGAGAACCTATTTTTGTGATACGTGAATTATGAAAACATAAATTATCAAAGGTGAAATGGATCAGTACATACTTATATGGCAGGCAGGGGAAAAATCCTGTATTAGTCTTATTCTCTGTATATAGTACCAGCCTTTCTCATTTCCTTTTACCAGCAGAGTCAGGGGCTACACCAGTTTTATCAGGTTTATGGTGTCAGTTAATTAAATTTTAAGTCCTGACTAACAATGAAATCCAGCCATAGAAATTTTAAACAATGAAAACTAGCAATATTTTTGGGAGTTATTCAAAGAGCAAGCTACTGTGAATTTAAATAGGTATTAGTACATACTTGTTGGAGGAACTCTGCTAATGCAAATCTCCTTTTCAACCTCAAATCAACTCCGTTCTGAATGGACACTAGAATAGCACACACAAAGTGAATATATCAATATTTTGTATATAACAGACATAAGTCTAATGGGCAAAGTCTCCAACTGCTGCCGCCATTCATTTTGATAAAATACCACCCATGAATAATTAGTATTCATTTGCTCTAATTAAGGAATATAGATAATGGAAGCTGGATTTAGAATAGTGTGAAGCAGTTTTCTGGAGCCTGTCATGCACAGGTCATGCCAGACCTAACTAAAGATGTGGGTACAGCCCATGTTATGTGGGCATGAGGCTGCCAGTGTCCTGCGCCACAGGGTGGGACACAGGGACAAAGCGTGATGTGAGGAGTTGCTGAGAGATTTCCAACAGCAGACTTGGACTGCAGTATTTCTCAGGTCCTACACTTCCCAAACACCCGAATCTGTGAATTATGCCTAAAGCAGAAATACAGTACTAGGAGTACAAGTCAGCATAGCAGATGCACAGATGCTTTTCTTTATATATTATTATGCTGTAAACTTGTATGTGAGCAAGTAATGCATGCAGCAGGCAGAGAGCTTTTACAGGTCTATTTGGTGACTGATTGGGTGTAGATGAGCTTTGCCCAGTGGCTGGAGCTGCACAGAGAGGAGATGGAGATCTGCTTCTTGTCTGTCACTGCATCAGTGCATGGCAGCAGAGGGACTTGGTCAGCCCCTTCGCTCATCTGTTTACTCAGATGCAAGGCACAGAGGAACCATTGCACAAACACTGCTGAAATTAAGTTTCAAAATCACTCGGAGAGATTCTCTTTAGGAAAGGCTAAATGTAAATGCCAAATTACTGACAGACTCCACTGGCCTAAAGTAAGCATTTAAAGAAATGCATTCCCCCACAGGTGATGCCAGGTACAGTGGGGCAGACCTGTCCTCCTGAAACACTGCCACAGTTTCCCCTTCCTCCTTGGATCTGATGAAATTGTGGCCATCCTCCCCAGCCTGTGGGGTCAGCTCATGAACTCACTAACCTATTGCTATCACACCCAGACCAGCTGACAGAGGCAGCAACCAGTGACAGCTACTCAAAAGGAGATTTTCAGGCAGGACACACACCTATCTGCCCCAAAGCCTGCTCCATCCTCTCTGGGACCAGAGCATACATAGAGGCATCACCAGAAGAGCATACATAGAGGCACCCAAATCAACCAAGGAGAAGTTGCTCTAGCTATTGTTACCTGCCAGCTTAATTACTCTGCCTGCACCATTTCTTTGCTAAACTCTGTCATGTTTAAGCCTTTTACTGCAGACAGTGGTGCTTTTTAGCCATGAGTAAGTAATTAGCAGCACTACTTTTCACTGCTGATGCAAGCTCAGATCTCAGATTATATTTTTCTAGCTGGTTTCTAAGAAGCAGGTCCCACTGCTGTCTGGGAAGGGTGCTGTTAACTGAGGCTTCTTGAGAACAAAGCAAAAGAGCGGCACTCGCCCAGTTAGTCTCTAGGCTCAGCTGAGGAGCAATAGTGTTGTTAGCCGCTTCCAAAAATCATTCTGCACGAGTGCTCCTGTGCTGCAGCTCCCTGGGGGACTGGCAGCAGCACATCGGTCCTGGCTGGGAGACGAGGTCCGTTAGTGCTCCCGTATCGCAGCATGGAGCATAAGCATTCATCAGCAGAGCTCTACGTTGGTGGGGACACGGCGGCCAGCTGCAGTGGTAGCAAAGGAGCAGCACACAGAGCCCCTTCTCAGCACTGACAAGCCCCTCTGCTCACCCTGCAGAGCAGGTTGCTGCAGTACCTACAAGGGCTTCAAGACCCAAGACAAGGAGTGCTGGCTACAACACTTGCAGGTTTAACTATGCATACTAAGAGAAACCAGGAATCAAATCTGAGGTCAGAAGTAGAAAATAGAAACACAGCCTGAGTATGTAATTTCATGTTTCCTCTGGAGAGCAAAGAAATTTTCAATTGGCTGTGGAGGTCTCTTACAAAGCAAGAAGAGAGAAAAATACGTTTGGAATTTAAGATCAGGGTATGCAAGAACAGCCGTATGACCTGGGCATGTAAAGCAAGCTTCAGCATTTTAAATAATGTCAATAGTTGTGGGCAATATGTAGCCCATTGATAACTGGAGTTCTGCTGGGAATGAGCAAGTATGTTATACTTCTTGCATTATAGTTTTGATTTTTTCTGTCCTTTGAAAATGTAAAATCTTTGGCACTTAAAAAAATTATTCCCACCTAGATTCCCTTTAAATGCTGCCCCTTCGCTAATTCCTCTATGTTTTTAGTTAATTAAAAGAAAACTCATATGCTTGTTGCATAACTGGAATTCACAGTGCAAAAGAACAATGCTCCACCTCTAGCTTTAAAACAGGAAAAATCATATCAATATATTTTTAAACCCACAATATGAATACAGCTTCCCCCAAATCCCACTTCTTTGTTCCCCTTTATAAAATCCATTCTAGTGAAGCCAAATTACATTCAAAGCACTTCTAAAGGGCTTAATAACACAATCAGATTTGATGTGAAAGTGGTTATAGATTCTGCTCTACAGTAGTGTTAGTTGGCTCAGCTATAAAATATCTATATCTCTGTATCAATGATAGATGACCCAGTATAATAAAAGATCTTGACTTGCGTGTATGTTAACAATTAATGGGATGTATAATGTATCACATACTGTGTGTGGAAGGTAATAAAGAGGTGTAAATGAGAATTACACTGGTTAATTGGTGTCATTAATGGTTCTTTTGTTCTGCTAGAAAAGCAGTATCTTACTCTCAAGATGATATTGTAGGGCTGACTGCAGACTTCAAGTCAAGAGTTGAAATGAGTGAAAAATGCCAGCTCAGCTAAGAAATTGCTTCTTTAGGGATGTACCCTGACATGAAACCCTCCTAGAAACCCAGATTCAGTCCTATCAGATAGACTGGTTCCTGATTGCCCTCAG